AGAATGAGTGTAATTTGTAATTCGTTTGTAAGTTAGTATTTCCCTGACATATATATTGTCCTAAGAATTTTTACAGTTGTAATTTTTTATAAGCCACTATTAAACATTATTATTATTATTATAAAAAAATTATTATTATTTTTATTATTATTATGATAGAATGTAAACGTTTTTAATTACCTCCCTTAGAAAAACAAGACATACAAAACAAAAATATTTGCGACTTCCTTGTTCGTGCGGCTGTCTCTGGTTAAAAGTTAAGAAAAAATTAAGAATAAGTATCTTGCGTCACAGACAGTTTACACCACCAAAATGATTTTTGTGACACGCCCGGCTGAACCGTAGGCTGACAAAAACCACATGAAATTTGAGGAACTGGGAATTGACAAACTTTAGGGATAAACTTATCTACTTGGCAAAAACCTAAAATTTTGTTTGGTAGGTCTATTAATAAACGAATACCTTCGTTTTACTCAACTAACAAAGGGATATTTTCTTAAATCCCTCCGCACTCAACTGATATGACAACAACTATGCGATGCGGGACAAGCAGACACAAGTCATGCTATGGCTAGTAAAACAAAAACATGATGCAACACATCAGGCCAGAAACAAATTGTAAAATGTCCAGAATAAACGGCTTGACAAAAGTATTGAACAAGCTAATAGTAAATAAATCAAACAACCTAAATACCAAATAAAACCAAACGTTCGGTTCTGGTTAACAATACATAGGAATATTTCATGTTTTCCCGACATTTCGGCTAAAACTTCCGCTTTCACGATCATCAGGGGAAGAACAGGTTAAGAAAAATTACACAGAGCACGTTACAAATTAAGAAAAATGCAAGTTAGTCTCTAGTTGAGTCTTTTTAAAGCTTAGTTCAAATACCCATGCGCTAGAAAAATGCATCCCCATTCGTCCTCACGATTGAGAGGAATCTTGCAAATATTTATCTCCCATTGATCTCCAGTGATCATAACCAAAACGTAAACAACCAGTTTCAGCCAAAGCTGACAAACAATGTAAAAAATGCTCCGCCAAAGTCGACTTCTTTTATTTCCAAAACGGAAAGACCTCGTGCCGAAAGATCAAACTCGTGGCGCTACAATCGCACAAGTCAGCTTTGGCATAACATTGTTTACGTTTCGGTACACTCCTTGTCCAAAGAAAATTCTAGTTGATAGACTGATCAGCCTTGACATGGCTGCGCTGCCTTATATGCCACTGTGACACGATGGGCAAATAAGTCATTTAAGCAAGTAATTCGTTTTTAAACTTACTGTTTTGGGAAATTTATTTCAGGTCATTTCAGTTGCTACTTTTCTTGAAAGCAGCTTAACAACACATCGATCCTGATGGGAAATCTTGGTGCGTTCATCGTGTTGTTTTGTTTTCTCGTCGAAATGAATGGTGGTAAGAGATTTGTACTATTACTTTAATCTAATCTAATCTAAGGCAGTTTTTAGACAAAGGGTCTAAGTAGTCAAAAATCATTTTTATCAAGGTAACAACAGTCTTTATCTGTGCACTCTTGAAAGAGTGAATCTACGAAATGTTCACTATTTTACCGTTTTTAAAAACAACTGGTTGAAATCAGTGAAGTTGGAATGATAAGAATGATAAATTGTTTATATGTTCCGGAGAGATTAAAATAAAGTGTTCCAAAAGTGTGCACGATTTCATAGATTTTCAAAATACTCGCATGGGCGATATTTCAATGTTTCTGGAACATTTTGAAGATCATCAAACGATTTCAAAGAAATTGTAATATATATGTATGGGTTATTGACCAAGTGTGAGGTCAAGATGGCTGGATATTGGCCGAGTTCTTTTTAAACTCGCAAAAAAAGAACGAGGCCAATATCCAGCCATCTTTACCGAACAAGCCTGGTCAATAAAGGATTTATCATATGGCTTTTAGGGAAATTTTTTCTTGCGGGACACGACAGATAGTCCCGAGCGGACAAGATAGCTCCATCTTGCCCGCTCACGGAGCTAGCCATATAATAAATTTGCTTATTTACTTACTTTACTTCTTTTTACTTTCTTTCTTTCTTTCTTTCTTTCTTTCTTTCTTTCTTTCTTTCTTTCTTTCTTTCTTTCTACTTCTTTTTACTAGTTCCTCTTTCAAGGAAGGTACAGTTTTCGAATCAAGCTGGTAAGTACGTTTCACTATATTTCAAGATTCCTGTACTGTACGTCTCTCGTTCTAGTAGCCGCCACAAATCTATGTTATTATATGTGCCAACCTAATTTGCCATTTGCTAGTAGTGTTGTGCTCGATCGTAACCCTGTAGACATGAGCCAAGCCAAAGTTATTCCACTTTGAATCCTGAGTGGCAGAAAACATTAACAATACAAAGTCTTTTTTTCTTGGTCAAATAGATGGATGTAAGCAGATAATGGATATCGCGATACTGGCTGATAGATCACGAAGTATGTCGAGCGATAATCGCCTGGATTTGATAAAGGCCGTCAATACGTTGGTGGACGAGCTTGGAGTGTCTGAAACAGGCAATCACTTTGGTTTTGTCACTTTTGCTGTTAACGCAATACTCCACAGCAACTTCTCAAACCCGTTTTACTACAATGCTAACAACTTGAAGAGTAAAATGGAGAAAGAAGTAAAGTTCACACCAGATAGAGATTCGACTCGTACAGATTTGGCAATGCAGCTGACCGAGAACGAGCTGTTTATCAGAGATGGAGGACACAGAGCCAATGCCAGGAGTGTTCTACTTCTCCTTACTGATGGAAGACCGGTGTTTGTTAACGAAGCATGGGACAAGAGACCCCAAATTCCAACTTCGAGAATAACCAAACTATTGGAGGTAATTATATTTAATGTTACTTTCAATTTGTAATTTCAGTTACCTATTTCCTTGAACATAAACCCGGCGAAAATGCCTCCGTATACTTGCAGAAGCCAAAACTATTTCAGAAATTTATCATAAGTATTAATTTTCTTATCGATGATATTTCAATGAATCTCCTATTAAAATCAAGAAACCGTGGAGGGAGAAATGAAGTGTGGAAAGTTTACCAAGGAAATGAGACTTCCCATGCTGTTTTCTCAAATATTTTTGGACCGATTTAGAGGCATCTTTTAAGGGATATGACTCACAGGTAAGTGGTTCTGTCCCGTGATCATGAAATGTGAAATGCAGTTGATTACATATTGCCAATGAAAAAACTCTATCGGGAAATTCCAAAATTTCGCGTTCGATCATTCCGAGTTTTTTTAGTGTCAATGAACAAAATAAAGCATATCCTTTCACTGCAATCAAATATAATTGAAGCTCTGCTTGCAACTGCCCTCGTAAGCGGTCTATATCGTGGAAACACGTTTAAATTGCCCATTCAAAATATCCGTTATACATGTATGGGCGGCGCCGTAAGGGTTGATTTTTGAACCGTTTTGGCTCATTATATTTTAAAATACAAGTCAAGATAAAGGCTAAAAAGTGAAGGGATAAAATAGAAACTGCTGAAAACTAATTTATATAATCTGGTAACAAACAACCGAACAATGAACCTAGCCCTTAAAGTAATGAGGAAAAGAATGAAATTACAGGTTCTGGCTTCTGAAGAGATTGCAATAGGAACTGAATATCTCCGTGAGCACTGATTGTCTCTTGCATCAGGTACAGCCTTCCTTAACTACTCGTGTTCCATGTACCATTTAAATCTGAAAATATCGCATAAGTTTGCTCATCTGCATGCATGATCTTACATAGCGCCACTTTTTCTTTAACTAGAAAAAAAATGTCAGTATCATTATCATTGGAGTTGGTCCAGCCGCAAAAAACTTCAAGGACGAAATGGAAGAGTTGGCTGGCAATAAACGCCAAGTGATCCTTTTTGACAGCTTTGAAGAACTCACCAAAAGGATCGTAACCGAATTTAAAAGCAAATCGTGTGGTAAGTTTGGTTTATTAAGAAAAGAACAACCCTTGCTTTACACTATAAATGTAGTATGTTACATAGCTTTTAAAGCAAATATAGTTAAGGGTGGAACTTTTCAATAAGAAAAATAATAGTAAGCAGTAAAATCACTTGCGATTTTTCAAAAAAAAAATAATAATGGTAATGGAACTGAGTGGAGTCCAATTCGGTCTGTAATCATACGATTAACAAAATCGGACGACCGCGAAGTGGGAGTCCGATTTGTTAATCACGAGTATGAATTGGACGACGCGAAGCCCTGTTACCAATTAATCAAAACTATGACACAATTCGAGAAACGAGCAAACCATCGATTGAGCGTTGAACGATTAAACGTCGTTATGAGTGCTGAAAACACAGCAGTTTACTCAACAAAGTGCACCGCAACAGCGGGCGGAAAATGAAGCGTACTGCCCAATTACAAGCATGACGCTTACACTGTCCAATTAAAGCTCAAATCGGGCTGCCGATAGCCGATCACTTTCGAGAATTTTGTTATAGTTTTGATTAATAATGGTAATAGGACTGAGTGGAGTCCAATTCGGTCTGTAATCATACTCGTGATTAACAAAATCGGACGACCGCGAAGCGGGAGTCCGATTTGTTAATCACGAGTATGATTACAGACTGAATTGGACGACACGATGTCCTGTTACCAATTAATCATAACCATTACAATTTCCCACAAAAGTAAAAGTTTCATTTGAAAAAGCGCTTTTAATAGTCATTTTTAAATATCATAATTAAAAATATGAAGAATGCGGCGGTTTGCAAAATGGCGGTTAAGTTTCTTTCTAAACAGTCACCAGTTTTTACAAAGTCAGTCTCTTGAATTGGTTACTATAGTGATTGTAATCAACGCTGTGATTGGTGGATAAAATGATTGGTTCATGTAACTGTCCGATTACAGGTGTCCGATTACAGCCAACCGTCCGATTACACTGTCCGATTACAACTTTGAAGATTAATTAGAGCAAAATGCGGCAGTTTATGCACCAATCACGTTTGAGGAAATTGTAATTGTTACGATTAAACTTGAAATTCATTGCTGTTTGAAAAGTCACAAAGTAGTCGCTAATCACATATAGCTTATTAGGAAGTGTGTTCCACACTTAAATCCGGGCTATATCATTGGTAGAGTTCGATTTTAATTTCCTGGGTTGCATAATGTCTAGGACCGCGCCGAACTTGTACTATATAGGGTGTTGCTTATAGCCACAGTCCATCCAAACCGTTCGCGGAGAAACGATGGCGAAGTAGTGAGAGCGGTCGCTTCTCTCAACAATATTAATGTCGCTGAGATTCGATGCCAACTTGGAGATGCGTAGGTTGAATTTGTTGTTGGTTCCTGCCTTGTTTCTCTCTCTTTCCTGAAAAACTAACATTTCCAAATTCCAATTCGACTTGGATAGAGGACCAGATTTAAAATCAACTAGGGCTGAAACGGCTTCCTTTTTAAATAAATATTTAACAATTATTCGCCCAAGGAGAGGTGAATATTCACCAATGTTCACTGAGCCTGAGGGGAATAATTGTTTTAGTATAATTTTCAGAGGTGAATATCAAGGACTACAAAATAACAGACTAAAACATAAAACACAGACAAAGTACACGTATGCCGCCGTAGTTTTAATAATAAGCTTACATGCACATCGATTGTGAATCAATTTACTCGCGAGTTCGGCACTAAAACAAACGAGCGAAACACTACGAAAAATAAATTCATCCAGCACCTTTGTTTTATCGTTGTTGACTTCATTCACAGCTGCCATCATCGTCTAAAAATGAGTAGCTTTAGTTTGAAGGAAAAAAATTTCAGTCAATCGATCGATCAACGTAACCACTGCGTTTACGATTCTTAAATGCCTTGAATACGAGTTCTTGAAAAGATTTTTGGTCCAAGGGCGACAGCAGTCACTTTGGCAATTCTCCATCCTTTCTAATATCCTGGACCTGGAGTGATTTCTTTCGAATAAATGAAAACTTCATTCAGCAAGTGTCCGCCATGTTTACTTGCCGAGATGGCAAAGATGGCGAGCTTAGTAACCAAGCTCCAGCGGGGTGAATATAACGTCATATGAGGAGCTTTTCGACCAATCAGAATGTCCAATTCTTATATTCACCTCTGGAAATTATACTAATGTAATTTATTTATTACTTATTTCATTTAGCACTGGAGCGTTCGTTCCTTTTATATGTGAAGAAATATCTCACAGTGATAAACTTTATAAACTGACTCAAGTGCTATGCTCCTTCGATTCTTTTGATTATTTGAATTGTAGTTTCATATGTATTTGAGCTGGAAAAATATCTAGAATATCTAGACCACGTTGAGCAGAGACATCTGAATACTTGAAGAAAAAGTTAATGTTATCGCTCAACGAGATCTAGTTATATTGCTACACGCCAAAAGGTTTGTCAGGAAAGCACTCTTCATCAGAGGTGTGGAAAACAAATTCTCTCAGTGGAGCGATTGTAAGGTGCGGCGATGGAGAAGAAGAAATTTTAAGGCTCAAAAATTGTTTCTTTGTAGATCGACCGTCAGATCCACCCGCAACAAAGCCTCCAGCTCCTGCAGCAAGTATGTAGACGAATGTTTCTTATGTTATACAGCTGCCTGCACTGACGATTTGCCTGAGAGAATACGAGTTGTTTTGCCTGTTAAATTGCGACATTCGCATCTACCAATAGTAATGTTTAGTAGGATGCTAGTTACAGGGAAGAAACTGAAAGGGAAAGAGGGTAAAAAGATCACAACAAAAAGACCGAAAAAAATTGAAATCTATAAAAAACAAATTCAAAAACATTTTACAATAGGGGCTTGTTGTATTTGTATATCTTTATCTTCTTGTGTAATATATTTCCCTTGTTCGTCGTTATAGTTGGACAGTCAGCAAAGGCCCCAACTCAAGCAAGTATGTATATTTTTGATGTTTTATCTTCTGATGTTGTGCTTTATCGCTTCGCTTTATATCTCTCAGTTAGTACGCGCGCTGTGATTGGTCAATTTAGTGAACCGTATTCTACTGCGCGGCCCGCTAAAATTTAAAGCTGTTTTTGTTGCCAAAATGTTTCGTTTATTATCGCCAAGTGTTCTCAACTTTTTAAGCAAGTAAAAGTTTAATACTTTGTTGTACTTCTGAAATTGCGTATTAAAACCTGCTAACGACTCAAGAGTCACTTAACGACGATTTCAAGTTGACTCGTTACTTTAGAGTGCGTCAGAAATTTGAAGCCGTTCCGCGTGAATATAAATCGTTTCCGAGCCCGTCAGACACACAGTAGAGATACAATAAATATCTTACTAACCCTGTTTCCTCGATCCGTACTGTAAGTTACGGATCCTCGTTTTTTCCCTCGATTTATGGCCCGCGCGCTGCGCGCTTGAGCCATAAATCGATGGGGAAAAAACTCGGTCCGTAACTTGCAGTAAGGCCCTCGAACTAGGTTAGTATTGTTGTGTAATACGTTTTCCTCTTTTGGGATAGTGCAGTGGTGAGAGCGCTCGCCTCCTACCAATCCAGCCCGGGTTCGAATCCTGGACCCGTTGTCACAAGTGGGTTGAGTTTGTTGCCGGTTCTCGCCTTGCTCCGAAGGTTTTTCTCCGGGTTCTGCGATATTTCTCCTTCCACAAGACCAAACAACTCTAAATTTCAATTCAATCTGGAAACAGCGGACGAAGGGTTGAAATGTGCCTCTGCAAAGTCGTATTGATCAGTTGATGATTGAGTTAACTTAAAAGAATCTCCAAGCGTTCCATTGCGTTTGGAAATTTCAATGAATAAAATTATGATTTTTAGGCCAACCGCTACAGGAAAATCAAGTGGTGCAAGAATAACATAGACAAGATAGAGTGTTTATCTCTGGCCGAAGCATGGGCCGATCGTTGCCCTTGGAAACGTTTTTTCATAAAAAGGAAACAACATATAAGCCCCGAACTTTGACATCTACTAACAGTCAATATTTACTAGTCACAAGTCAAATAGGGTCTTAACCAAAATAAACTCGTGGGTAAATTTTAATTATTGCAAGACCCCACTGAAAACCACCAAGGCGAGTGGGCTCCCTGGATAAATATTTCTATTACTATTATTATCATAAATAAAATAGTACTAATTATTGAATTACTTCTTCTAATACCTTAATGTTTTTCAACTGTTTCTTTGTAAATGGACCGTTAGATCCACCAGCAACAAAGCCTCCAGCTCCTCCACCAAGTATGTAGACGTATGTTTCTTATGTTATACAGCTGCATGCACTGACGATTTGCCCGAGAAAATACAAGTTGCTTAACCTGTTAAATTACGACATTTGCATCTACCAATAGTAATGTTTAGTCTGATGCTAGTTACAGGGAAGAGGCTGAAAGGGAAAGAGAGTAAAAAGATCAAAACAAAAAGGACGAAAAAATTAAAATCTACGAAAAACAAATTCAAAAACATTTTACAGTATGGGCTTATTGTATTTGTATACCTTTATCTTATTGTGTAATATATTTTCCTTGTTTGTCATTATAGTTCGACAATCAACAAAGGCCCCAACTCAAACAAGTATGTACATTTTTCATGTTTTATCTTCTGATGTTGTGCTTTATCGTTTAGCTATATATTTTATCTCTCATTTAGTAGCGCGCTCTGATTGGTCAATTTAGCAGGCCGTATTCTACTGTGCGGCCCGCTAAAATTTGAAGCTGTTTTTGTTGCCAGAATATTTCGTGATTTATCGCCAAGTGTTCTTCACTTTCTTAATCTTAGCAAGTAAAAGTTTAATAATTCCTTTTTTTTTGAAACTGTGTATTAAAACCTGCCGACGACTTAAGGTCATTCCCCAGTATTAAATTGCGCATCCCTACTGCGCATAATTTCACGCGTGACTAGCGCGCGCGCATGAAAAAATGGCGGCTTTTTATTTACGGGTGGACCTCGCCATAGAGGTAAATCGTCANAAGCAATCGTGACTACAATCGTGGTGCTATTATAAGGATTTATTGGGTATAAACAAGGTGCTGTTGCTCCTAAACGAGCATGGAGACCCCTCATTTTTATTTCAAAATTTAAGTTCCTACAATATTAACAATTTATAGGCAAAGTTTCACAAAAATCTCAGTGCAGGTTCTATTTCAGTGGAATGAGTCGCTTGACAACGATTTCAAGCTGACTCTTTACTTTTGCGCCCTTGGACCATAAATCGATGGGGGAAAAACTCGGTCCGTAACTTACAGTAGGGCCCTCGAACTCAGTTCGAATTATTGTGTAATGTATTTCTCTTTTGTCATTATAGTTCGACAATCAACAAAGGCCCCAACTCAAGCAAGTATGTATATTTGTCATGTTTCATGTGCTAAGGTTGTGCTCTATCCTATTATTTGTTGGAACGGCTTGAGCTTCATTACTGTCTAGAACATCTCCTCGCCTTAAGATCTGACAGCCAGCCTGTTAGTAGAGTACTGCTGACATACTGGCAATGCAAACTCTGCAATCTGACTGGCTGAACCATTGTACAGTATCAGCCGTTATAGTATACAAGTTAACTATCCTTTTTCGTCATTGGGCAATACCTACTGATCGCGAGATATGACCTCGTAATGGCACTATTTAAGCAATAGACTGTTTCCGTGTCCAGGAACTATCGCCTGATAGTGGCCTCGAGAAAATGTGTTGCTCTTAAAACAAGTATTTGCCCAAGAAGCGAAGCTTCGAGGGCAAATAAATACGCAGAATAATTAGACCACCGTTGTGCGGTGACATCAACACTTGGAGAAAAAGTTAATGTTATCGCTCAACGAGATCTAGTTATATTGCTGCACGCCAAAAGGTTTGTCAGGAAAGCACTCTTCATCAGAGGTGTGGAAAACAAGTTCTCTCAGCGCAGCGAATTGCAAGGTCCGGCGATGTAGAAAAATTCGTTGAAGAAACAGAGTAGCTTAACGGTAGGGAGCTGGCATTAAAAGTTATTATCTAACCACCAAATTTAAAACAGAGGAACATTAAACTGATTACAGATCACTTGACTTTCAGGGAAAACTGATCCTATTTTGTGTCCAACGGAAGTCGCATTTATCTTAGACTCTTCGAACAGCATTAAAGATGAAGATTTTAACGATGAGAAGGAGATCGTCAAGAAGATAGTGATTGATTTGGACATAGCATCGGATAAAAATCGAGCTGCGCTGGTTCTTTTCGGTACCTCGCCCACTCTGGAAGCTCGACTTGGACAATATGAGACAGCTTACAGATTCCAGGAAGTTTTGGAGAAACTACCCAAAATGGGCGAAAGAACACGAATCGACAGAGCCCTGAACGTTGCAGAAAATCAGATCTTCCCAGAAGCCAGACAGGGCGTGTATAAGATTGCGATAATACTAACCGATGGGGTCCAGTCTACTGGAGCCCAAGGCCTAAGACGATCCTCGAAGCCCTTGCGGGACGCAGGCGTTCGTGTGATTGCGGTGGGTATTGGCGTTGGTAAGCGGGAGCGTAGACTACGACTAATGACAGATCGTGATGAAGATGTCGTGGATACAAAGAGCATCCAAGGACACTTGCAGAAGATACTTGATGACCTAAGGCAAAATGGCTGCAGTAAGTATCTGTAAATGCTTTATTTCAGTAAATACCTGATGTGGGTTTATGACCTTGAAGGTCGTTTCTTGCTGCTTTCTTCATGGAGTGCAGTTTTGCCAGTTTGCTACAAACAAAGAAAACGACTGGGTTTTATTTTGGAAACTAAGCTGAAATGCTATATCCTTTGAGCCAATTATGACCTTCAGTTAACAAGATTATTCAAATGTGAAAAACACTAAAAATTATGGAATTTATTGGTGCATTTACCACACTTTGTTGCCTCGGTGGGTAAGTAGAAATTTACAGTGTTCATGTAACCTGGGTATCGGGCTTGGTTTATTTTTTGGGGTAGGGGGTGTGAGAAGAAGAGAGAGGGGAAATTCAAAAAGAAGAAAAAGCTGACACATAGGCTCTTGATGTGAAGTTTATATGAAATAATTCACCATATGAGGAAGTAGCAGATCCCATTAAAATAGTGCTCAATACACATATGGTGTAGAGCTGAGTATATGAGTAATAACGAAGAGGCAAGATTTGCTGTTACTCCGAGTTTCGTGCTTACGNACAAGGGAACATTAAACTGACTTTAGATTACTTGCATTTCAGTTTCTTCTTGTCCAACGGATGTGGCATTTATCTTAGACTCTTCCGGCAGCGTTAAAGCGGAAGATTTTAACGAAGAGAAGGAGATAGTCAAGAAGCTAGTGATGGATTTGGACATAGCACCGTATAAAGATCGAGTTGCGCTGGTTCTGTTCGGCACAAAGTCCAAACTGAAAGCTGGATTCGGACAATACGAGACGGCTTTGAAGTTCCAGGATGCTTTGCAAAAACTACCCAAAATGGACGACAAAACAAGAATCGACCGGGCCCTAAACGTGACAGAAAATCAGATCTTCCCGAATGCAAGACACGGCGTGTATAAGATTGCAATAATACTAACTGATGGAGTCCAGTCTACTGGAGCCCAAGGCTTAAGACGATCCTCCAAGCCCTTACGGGACGCAGGCGTTCGTGTGATTGCGGTGGCTATTGGAGTTGGAAAGCGGGAGCGTAGACTACGACTGATGACAGATCGTGATGAAGATGTCGTGGATGCAGAGAACATCCAAGGTTACTTGCAGGAGATATTAAATGACCTAGTCCAAAATGGCTGCAGTAAGTATCAGTCAATGCCAGCTGTGGTTCTGGGACCTTGAATAACCTGTGTCGGGCGTTCTTTTGGAGAGAGGCCCAAAATAAGAACGCCTGGTCGCAGGTTAGACCTTGAAGGTCGTTTCTAACCTCGAACCGAGATTTCTCACGGCCAAGCGTCAAACAGAGTGAGATCTGGGCACGAGATTATGTGGTTTCTAGTTTCATTCTTCATGGAGTGCTGTTTTACCAGTTTACAACACAGAAAGACAATAGCTACGTTTTATTTTGAAAACAATTATAACTAAAACATTATGTCAACCTTTGAGCCAAGTATGACCTTCAGTTTACAAGATAATTTAAACATGACTTTCATACTGAATGCCTGGAAGAGGCTAGCGATAGGCTGACTAGATCATTACGAAACCAAGCAAAAATTTCGTTACACATTTTATGGATTTACCGCGTTTTATACCTTAATTTATTGTGTAATGTTTATG